CGGCGCCGGTTCTTAGGACGGTTGTTGTCGGCGCCGGTTCTTAGGACGGTTGTTGACGGCGCCGGTTCTTAGGACGGTTGTTGACGGCGCCGGTTCTTAGGACGGTTGTTGACGGCGCCGGTACTGAACCGCCTTCTATATATGGAGAGAATCCCCACATTAATAATTGCGTCAGTCACCGGTAGGCGATAGCGGGCATGCCGCAGAGTGCAGTGATCCAAAGCAGCCAGTCAGAGTTCAGTTTACTGAAGCCAGACCGGTATATGAAGGATCCTGATTGGTTGTTGTGGCTCCTGCGGTTTGCCTTGTGTGCGGTTTTATGTCGGGGCCAAATAAGCTTCATAGAGATGCTGTTGGAGCGGAGACTTCAATGACCGGAGCCGGCTGCAGCATCTCATCTTCTTACTTGCTGCAATGTTACAGACTGATCACTGGGGGAGGGGGAGACCGAGGAAATGCTTCCTCCTGCCTGCAGCAGACTGATGACATCATCTCAGCCTAGGCAAAGTCACTGATTGGAGCTTAAGGACGGCCTTGTAATAATAAAAGTTTTGGGTTCCCTAACAAGAGGGGGGAATTACAGCTATCCTGTTGCTTGTCCCAAATAGTGCAAAAATAACATCCTGTCCATCTCACTGTTTGAGAGATTTCCACTCACTTCCTGTCATGGTGACCACCAATCAATGGAGGCCCAGACAGCATTAAAAACTTCTTAATCTTCACCCCCTTCTTCCAAATCAAAACAAAAAGGGCTCTATTTTTAGACCATTTGCAGGGCCGAATGTCTGTGAACGTTCTCTCCGTGTGAATGTACGCCAAAACGAACGTTCTGTACTTTCTTTACAAGTGAAATGAGTTTTCGAATGTTTTCATGTAATATCACATTATGGCCACTGGGTGGTGCTAAAGGAGTACAGGAAATAAGTATTTATAGTCTGAGCGCCATCTGGTGGCCACAATGGGATATCACATGAAAACGCTAGAAAATTCAGAAAGAACTGCAGAACGTTCGTCTCGGCGTATATTCGCACAGAGCGAGCATTCACAGAACTTTGACCCTTTACCATTTCACCGTTCCTGGAATGAAGATATTTATATTATTTTAGGTGTTGGGGACACTGTGATCAGATCGATCTTGTAGAGGACGCTCGTGATACTGCGTAGCACACCATCCGTGTCACTGCAGCGCTGTGGTGGTTCTGATTGTGGCGCGGCTCCACTCGGTTATAATCTGGATGGCGGATTCCGTGTGTGTGTCAGTGACGGGAAAGGAGCTGCTGGTAAATTATTCAGGAACAGCTGTCACCGCACCGGGAATCCCAGGAAAGAACTTCAATATTTTGATCAGCCGATCACGTTCAGGGAAAACACGGCAGCAGACTGATTCACGGCGGCGGTGGCGGTTTGTGCTGCAGCTTGCCGTGCGTCGGGATTTTGTACTGAGCCGCATTCCACGTAGCTCCGGGTGAGACCATTTTCATCGAAACATTCACCTATGTGCGGCGTGTTACCGGAGACGGTAAAATGAATGGTGAGGGTCGCCGTCAAATGCCAACCATGTGACCAGATCTAATTCTGAATTTCTCAGGTATATCTGCTCCCCCCACCTCCTGTTGATGGGAATCATACTGCCAAGAGGTTTTTATGACCGAGACAACACAGGACACAACCGGTAGTGGACAGGTCAGGAGATATAGGAGTGTACCTGAGGCTGCATGGAGTCACAAGGGTTGGGGGGGGCGGGGGGCACAGGATACTCCGGATGCTCTGGGTTCAATGGGTGACACAGAAAACATAGGAGACGCTGAGGTCACTGGAGACAGAGGAACATAGTGGTCACTAAAGGCACAGGTGATCCCTGGAGACAATAGGGTAACTGTAGTGTGCAGGGGTCACTGGAGTAGAGGAGCGCACAGGGGTGGCTGGAGGCAGAGGAGCGCACAGGGGTCGCTGGAGGCACGGGAGCGCAGGGGGTCACTGGAGGCTCAGGAGTGCAGGGGGTCACTGGAGGCACAGGGGCGAACTAAAAAGGCTTTTTACATTTTTGTGGAGTTGCCCTTTAAGTCGGGTCTGATTCCTTTACATAGTTACATAGTATTTGAGGTTGAATAAAGACATTAGTCCATCTCTCTAATGTTGTTACATTGTAGACAGACTATCTTCTGCAGGTTCCATTCCTCCAGGTGTGGCAATAGTCTCGCTCCTCATCGGCTAGAGATGGAATATTTCAGTCGCCCTTCAGATAAGGAAAAAAGAATTTCATTTACACAGCACTTCACCCCCCGAGGGAGATCACAGATACGGCGGGACGTACAACGGCGCACACTTCAACACCTGAATTGTGTTAGGACACGACTCATAAAAATACTGGAGGCATGAGCTGGCGGTCCTTATCTGGGTTCCGCCTCCTAACCAGTAAATACGCCGCTGCTATCTGCTGGCACGGCTTCACCTAGAGAGCAGAGAGCGACGCGACACGCACACATTAACCGCCGGACAAACACTTCCAATCCCTTTACTAGACGATATCACTGCTCCCCGGTGAATAGCTCCATACCAATATACACTATATTGGGACGCCCCTCCCCCTCCAAATCATTGCATTCGGGCGTTCCATGAATGCGGCAAAGGGCGGAGCCAACCCAATACTGGACCCTACGGACTAAGACGCCATTAAAGTTCATGTGCGTATAAAGGCGTCCCAATACTTCTGGCAATATAGTGAATATTACACTATAATTATCTGAAGATTGAAGCTCCTCACTAATGTTAGAGTCCAGATCCAATTTTATTCCAATAGAGGGTCAGGTACAAGATCAAAAGAGGAAGCCATCGCGATTTGGGTTCCAGACTCGCCCCCCTTCATGAGGGTTTAAGGACAGGAAACAATGTATATGGACTCGGCATTGAGGATACTATGACCAGTATAGCACCGGGCACAGGACTGGTCAGCAGCTGGTTTGGCTTCCAATCCCATACACATTGTTTCCTATCCTGATGAAGGGGGCAGCATTGGATCCCCAAACCTGTCGGCTCCCTCCTTGGCTTTTCTACCTGACCCTACGTTGGGATAATAATGTATCTGGACTGTTCATTTATGGTGTGGAACTTCAGTCCTAGATCCGTTATTTTCCATTACCAACCAAAGAATCTCTGGGAATCCTCCGGTGTGTGGAAGCTGCCGGTCCAGTGACCTGAACGAATATCATTATTATACTATTGGATAGAACCGCCTGAAGGACAACCTCCGGGCCCAGCGCTACCTATCCACTTTCTGTGATCACGACCTGTAGCCTCTTAGTTCCCGCCACTCCTCCCCTGGAGCACGCTACTACTTCAGGGCCGCCATAGTACAGGAATTGTAATCCATTTAGTTTGGATCAGATCTGTTCCTAAAGAAGATTTATCTTGTTTGCAGAGAGCTTAGTTGTGAATGTCCCGGGAAGTGGGATTGCGCTACCAGTAAATAGTCATATATAACTGTAACTATAATATATATATCAATGACATTGAACTAAGGTGAGCTGCATTTCAGCACCAAAGCCTCACCCCAACTGTGAAGCATGGTGGAGAAAATATAACAGAGCATTGTCTTTACAATGGGGGGGGGGGGGGGGGCGTTGTTTTTTTTTTGTGGA